CTCACAAATTCGAAAAATTATTCTAGCTATGTTTAACGATCCAGAGGTTATAGAAACGATTAAAAACAATATTAATAGCGGAGCTAGTGCCAAGGCACATAATACGAATGTATCTATGACTCGAAGAGTCGCCCCTAAAGGGCCTGCAAAACCTGACTTTATAAATTATCGAGAGCCAGCTCCAGAAATACCCGATTCAGATGGGGAGGATGAAACGCTAGACGATCCTATGGAGATTAATTTTGTCCGCCGGAAAGAATCTGCTACAAGTCTTGCAACTATACCGTGTAAAATCAAACGCTTAAAAATTCTAGCATTGGTACTCGATAGTGGGGCTGAACCTCCAATTACATCAGAAGATATTGTTAAATGTGTAAATTGGCCAATTGATAAATCAGAAAAATATGATCTTAGTGGTGTTGCAACAGTTCCAACAGAATTTATTGGCATTGCTCGTAATTTCCCAATAACATTCCCTCCAGGTTTTACTATACATGAAGATTTTGTAGTTGTACGTGTTCCTAAACCAACATTGATATTCCCAAACCCACTTCTCAAGAAATATAAATGTGCTATAGATTGGGGTAAAGATGAGTTGAAAATTCCTTTTAATGGAAAGGATCATATTATTCCGGTTACTATGCACAAAGTAAAGAATAAACTTGAAGTGAATTGCGCTACTGCATCTCAGGATGATAAGCCTTTGGTATCCGATCAACTTTCTCAAGAGACGGATAGTGATAAGGATAACAATGTACCATTAGAAGAATGGCATGCTCCTGTGGGTTTTAGCTCAGATTCTAATAATTCGACTTTAAAAAAAAAACGCATGAGTTATGAGGAGTTAGAAAAATCGCTATATGAGGTACTCAACTCCAGGTTTAAATTAATCGAACTCAATAAAAAATTGCGACTTCATAGAAATAAACCTGAAGACTTTTATGAGAAGGTTGTCAATACTGATATAAAAAAAGCGAAGATAGATTAGTTGAGATTTAAAAATCTTTCAGACTCATGTTCGGCTTCTTCTGCTTCTCTGTGTTTACGTTTGATTAAAGTATACATATCATCTTTTCCTCCTACTTTTTTTGTCAGTTTATTGACCGTGTCAACCTATTGATAACATTAGGTAAGTCAGAAATTCGAACAGATTTAGATCTCAGTTTTCTATTTTTAACCCGCTTATCAGAAGTAACATTAGAATTTAGATATAGGTTCGAAGAACCATTACTCTGCAATAAAATATCTTTGTTAATTTGATGTGTTTCAAACGCTGAAGTCTGTCCATTAGAATTTTCAGCTATATTAACTTGGCCAATATTTGGTAAATGTGATTTAGGTATAGATAAATCCTGATTTAGGGGTGCTATTGAATCTGATATAGGCTGATACCATTCTATCATACTAACTTCTTGCCCTCTCCAAATTCTATAAAAATGGTTATTCGTCATAGGGTATTTTTTTCTC